TACGAACGACGAGAGAGAGAGAGAGAGAGAGAGAGAGAGATCCCCCTTGAATTGAATGCTTGGTTTCACAATTTTCACTTGTGGAAGGGGGGTGTTCATATCCATGCCCCATGTGGAGGAGAATGTAACTGCTACAATTTTTTGGTTTATGTGAACTCTTCTTATCATATCAAAAGGGTTAGTGTTTTTCCTTGTACATTTCCTCTGTTTTTTGGATGGAGTTCCTGTAAGGTCTAAGCCTTATTAAAAAAAAAAAAAGAGAGAAAAAGGTAATGCCTCCCTTCGAAATCGAGTTCGAAAAAATATTGATGCAGGGATAAAATAAATTTCAGAAAAATAACAAAAAAAATAAAATTGAGAGAATATACTTTTTTTTCAAAAGTCCGTAAGGGAACTATTTAAAATAATCTCTATCAAATTTTATTAACTCCTTTACTACCTACCTTGCAATGAAGGGAAAAGTTTCTTAAATAGACTAAAAAAAGAGGAACACTTTTTATTTTTTCTTTCATCTCTATTTTCTCTTTTTTAACTTATTTTCTATCATCTCTATTTTCTCGTTCTTAAATTCACGTCACTCTTAACTTCACGTGCGACTTATGTTTTACTCAAAGCTATCTTTGAAAAGATAAGTCCCCACTTTTTACCCAAAGCAATTGTTAAAAAGATAAACCTCTTTATATTTAGTCTTGTCTTATTTACATTTCAAATTAACACAATCTACAAATATCAATCAAACTAACTAACTAATCCATAAATGTCAACTCATGCACAAATTCATCGCCCAGCTATCCCTGTGCACCTCTTAAGTTAAAAGATAAACTCAAAACTAATAAAATTACTATTATATTTTTTTTGCATCATTTTGGGTTGGGAGCAACTCGACTTCGTGCTTGAAGCCAATCACTATCTGTTAATTGGTGATGTAATCTCATCATGCGTTTTAGCACATTTTCTTCAATTTCTTTAAGATTAATGTAAGACTTTTTGGCTGCGATGAACACTTTTGATTATGAAATTTTGGAATATTGATTTTAAATCAAAATATCGTGATCGCTCTATAAGACGCGGATTTGACTTGTAATCTTTGTTACGCTCGAAATCAACATTCTGGGTTTGTTGGAATTACTGGTATAAGATGAATGTGGCTGTGAGCACATTCTTCACGATGAAGATTATTCGCCAACCGTTGCATCCTCATCTCACCTCTGTTCCAACCATTGCATCATCATTTCACATAATTCAGTTCGAAAATCATCTGTGGCTTTAGTCAAATCATCCACAGTAGGAGCAAGATTAACTTGTAAAATAAACTGGATATCTCTAGATTTGACTTGCTTTTTAGATCTGACTTGCTTTGATACCAATTGATGTAGGAAGAACATAAAAACTAGAAATATAACAAGAGCTAGTATCTAACGATCATCCATAGTAGGAGTAGGATTAACTTGTAAAACAAACCGGATATCTTTGGATCTGACTAGCTCTTACTTTCTCTAATACTAATTGATGCAAGGAGAAAATAAAAACAAAAAAAATAACAAGAAAAAAGAAAGGTTGAGGGAATATACCCTATCTCAAAGGTCTACAAGGAAGCCACTCCAAAATAATATTGAGACCAAATTTTATTAAAACAAAGAAGATAAACACTTTCCTATTTCATCGCTCCTCCCTGTTTTCTCTCTCTTAACCTATTTTCTTTCGTCCTTATTTTCTCTGTCTTAAATTCATGGGCCACCTATGTTTTATCCAAAGCAATACTTGAAAATATATAAAGCCCCATATATTTAACCTTATCCTATTTACATTCCAAACTAACTAACCCAATCTATAAATATCAATCAAATTAACTAACCCAATCCATAAATGTCAACTCACGCACAAACTCAACGCTCACCTCATATATTTAACCTTATTCTATTTACATTCCAAACTAACTAACCCAAATCACAAATATCAATCAAATTAACTAACCCAATCCATAAATGTCAACTCATGCATAAACTCAACGCTTATCTATCCCTGCGAACCTCCTAAGTTAAAAGATAAACTTAAAAACTAATAAAATTATTATTATTTCTCTGCATCAAAAATACTTTGAGCATCAGAAATCTCTAGGATACTCTAATCGATTTCCCCCACTGATTAAAAAATTTGTAGCGCAGGAAATGGTACTAATCTTGTGGATTTTAGGGTGAAATAGATGGTTCAGATAATATGTTACAATATATTATTTTTGGTACTCAACTATAATGGTAAGATAATAGATAATGGATTTGAAGGTTTTTTTTTTATTTTTTATGGTAGAAATACAAATTTTTGTGAGTTTTAAGGGGAGGCTTCACATATTTTGATTGGCTGCAGCTCTATCAAAATATTTTCTTTTTCTTTTTTAACTTATTTGAGAATTGGAGAGAAGCATATGGAAAACTAAAAAGATTATGTTCAGGTATACCATTCTCTTTTGGTTAAGGAAATTCATTTTAGATAAACGGTAGTTATAATTATTTTTGGCCATTAGATATGAGATTTTTTTACTTATTTGGGGCGGGAGAGCGAGACATGTTAATAAACTAAAAAGAATGTATACTATAGGACCAGTCAGTTTTGGTGCAAGGTCGTTACCGTCACTCGTAGTCATTGAAAAATTGCATCAAAGTACTCGAGGAAATTAATTTTAGACTTTGTACCAAGTCTATAAAGTAATTTTAACTGCCCAATTTTACATGTTTCTGTCAATAATAATTGTGACTTTTTTATATTAATAGTAAATAGCCTAATCCCAATAACAAATCCATATTTGTTGCCGGGCATGATTTTGTCAATTAAAATTGCTATTGATGCATATATAGTTATTGGCAGTTATTTAAAAAACGGATTGGCGACTAGGATCGGGCAATGGAAAACCGGTCTTGATCGGTGAATCTGCGTTTTTATTGTAACAAAACATTGTTTTTACTTTAGCAAAAATCTGTTTTATTGTAGCGAATCGCCGAGTCTCTTCCAAACCCAGACGATTTCCTATATATTTGCAAAATCGGTATCGGGTGATTGATTTCTAGGTCGGATCCAACGATTCCATGCCGACTTGGTGCTTTTTAAATAACTGGTTATGGGGATTGGACAAGGTCCAATCGACATGATTTTTAATTAGTGCTTTGTTTTGTCAAAACTTAAGTTTGGCTGAACGAATCAGCATGATTTTTGACTGATTTTGACTTGTTCAACTCAATGTTGCCATATTCGTTCACTTCGTTTCGGTCGAAAAGGTCGAACTCTTCAAAGTTTAGGTTCATACTCAAACGAAGAGAAATTTGGTGCTGCCACTTTGGTAAGCTTCGGTTCATTTTGGGCCAATCCGGCGGAAGCAAAAAAATATCTATATAAAAGTATTTTTTATTTTTTAAAATAATTTTTTTAGTTTATTTTTATTGTTTTTATCTATTTTTTATATAAATATCTAATTTATTTATATTAAACTATAAAAAAATCCTAATCCTAATTCTTCTATTGAATTGCTTTATTTTTCTCACTAGACTTAAAAAGGCTTTGAAAGAAATCTTACGACAATGTTTCAAGTAGCTAATTTAATTGATTGGACCATAATATTTTTAATATTTTATTTTTTTTGATAATATTTTTTATTTTAAAAAATAATAAATACAACCGTTGCGACCGATAGTAAGCCACAATCACCCTCAATCTCTCAAACGGCTCTCGCCATGCCTTGGTCCTTGGATGCTGTAGTCTTTATCACTCTTATCTCTCTCTCTCTCTCTTGCGCCTTTGTACTCAATCATGCACTTTACTCTCACACTCTAAGATATACGGTTCTCTCTCACTCTCTCTCTTAAATGGACTGTCTCTCTCTCTTAAATGGACTGTCTCTCTCTCTCTCTCTCTTAAATGGACTGTCTCTCTCTCTCTACATTTTAAGGAGTACTGTCGTATTTTATTGGATACAAAATTGATTGTTGAGTGCCAATTACTTTTACCTTTAAAAAACCCACATCATTAATTACAGCATAATGCACATATCTTTCAAAAACAATATTCCACAGTTCATCTATTAAAATGACTTTTAGAAAACTACTTTACCATATTCCAAAATTTCAAATTTATTTAATAAAAGCTAAATGATTTAGTGCTCCTGCCGAGCAAACTTTCCACTTGCTCCGTCAGGCAAATTCTAATCTAAGAGTACTTTTGGGACCTCAAACAAACTTTGGGGAATGTAACATCTTCTTAAACCTATAGACTGACCTCAAGAAAAAATTGTTTTCCAAATCGACTCAAAATCTAATGAAGGCCTTCCAACTTTTGGAGGGTGAGATCTGAGAGCCAGATAACTCAAACTC